GCATCTGCTGTGTTCTGGAAGGTATTTGGAAGCAGTGTGCACGCAGAAAAGTTCTTTATGTAGATTAGCAGATTAATTCTGGCTGTGGATATTTGCAGCTCAGATGAGAAAGTTTTCCCTTTGAACAGTGAATTCTCTTTAACAACTTGGCTTTTCATTTTTAAGGTTTTACTTTTCTGACTATCAGCCGTAACCTCAAGTCCTCTTAAATTAGTACCCTCATAATCGCCTCTGTTGCTGTCAATTATGGCACTTGAAAATGAACCACATCTGAGGAAAGGTTTGTATTTAGTTCAAACAACCTTTTTTCCACTGTATTGGAAACAAGCATGTGTGCTGAAGTGTCATAGAAGTTCTGAAGCTTTAAAAATGTTTCCCTCAAACATATTTTTAGATATTACTCTTAATAGTTTTTGCTGTATGTTATTTGAAGAAAAGAAGTAAATTGAGGTTGAAAACCTTGAAAAGAGCTACCCTAATATATTTTTCACTCCTACAGTGAAGGATGTCTTTTAAAGCATATGTGTAAATAAATTACAAATGAAGGTCATGGAAAAATCCTGAACACGATGATTAGTTTTTAGACCTATGGTTATAATGAATCAAGACACCATGATAGTTCTCCATGAAAAATGGTTTAAAATCTGTTCTTTTTTCATGCTGTAGCAGGTTTTTGTGAATTTTTAAAAAACAGTTTGAATTCACAATCAAATGGGCTTTGCTTATGGGTGAATGATACATTTTGTACTTCTTTGAAGAAGTTTTTTTTTATGTCTGGTGGCCATAGGGTGAGTCAGTGAGTACAGCTTCCTCCCCCAGGGACAGCGGCCTAGGGCTTTGGCGGTGACTTTATCTGCACTTCCTGTGTCTCTTAGGAGCTAACTCGGTAGCCGAAGTACACTGAGCCCAGTCTAACTGGCGAACATTCCTCACATATTCTTCCTGTATCCTCAGGATATAAGCAGTGTTGACCTTCTAAATTCACCTTTTCATCTTCAGCTAAGTGTTCTGGTCATCCTAAGCACGTGACTTTGTCCTTGAGCGACTTTGCGACTTTCCCTTCATGTACCACCTTTGCCCACAAGCAAGACACACCGCGCTTTGCTTCATTGAGTAATAATCCCACCTGTGTGGCTGACGGTGCGTGTGTTGCTTAATGTGGTGTTCCCTAGACACACGTAGCTGTTCGACATTTTAGTTCATTAGATTGAAGTAAAGAAAATATTTAAATTAAAGTTAAGACAGTTCTTAGCTTGCTGTAGCCAGTACCAAGTGCTTAGTCTCACTGAGGAGAGAGAACTGCAGAGCATTTTTATCATCTTGGAAAGTTCTGGAAAGCACTCCTTGTTCCTCACAGTGACCCTATAAAATTTCACAGCACATGGCACACAATAATACCCACAGAGATGAGGAAACAGGTTCCAGGAGGTGTAGAAAAATGTGTCCTTTCATAGAAACTGATTTAGAGAGGTGGTTTTTTTTTTTTTTTTTTTTTTTTTTTTTTTTTTGAGAGTTGTAGGTAAAGAGCAATATAAATGAGTGAAGGCAGTTTCTCTACAGATTTTGATCCTAAAACATGAGCATCTCGGAGGTGAAGACATGGCCTCACTTGCTCACTCTGTATCCTTGGTGATCCTTCGCGAGCCCAGCACAGCTAAATATTCAGTAACTGCTGGGCTCATGAATGAATACATGCAATTTTTGTTCAAGCACAATTTACAATTTAATATGATTTAAAAGCAGTGGATATCTGTTCCTGGTAGTAATTTTTGATAAACCGTTGCAGCAAACTCTGACTTTACATAACTTCTTGCTATGTATTTGCTTAGAAACGAGCAGGTAAAAAGTAACACATGTAGGTCTGTTATGGTTTGTGTCTAGGTGTCCCCCCAAAGCCTCATGCAGTCTTGGGGCGGCTGCCGCAATTTGGGATTGATTACTGTGGGTGTGGTTGCTGCACCTGCTTGGGCCAGGTAATTTGCATTACAATGTAAGATGGGAAGAGAAGCCAGCTGCTTGAGCTGCTGCTGCCCCTCCCTTGCGCTCCCACCATGAAAGGTTGCCCTCTGCTCTGTGCTGCTCTGCCTTGGAGCCAGCTGAGTGTGGACTGAAGCCTCCAGGAACTGTGAGCTAAATAAACCTTTCTTTCCTTCATTTTGAGTGCCGGATATTTGTCCCAGCAAGGAGAGAAGAGTAACTAAGACAAAGTCACACAAGTCCAATAAAGGTGACCTATAACAATAGGCCTGGCTGTTGTTTATTAAAATAGTAGGTTGGGTTTTACGTTAGGATAGCATTTAATTGATGTACATCAGTCATTTTTTATTCTGATTTATGCCCATCTGTTACTATAGGAAGTATCAAAATGATCACAAACTGGCTTCTCAATCTTTTTGAAATAGAAAAGAAACAAAATTTTAAGTAATTGTTCTTTTCCAAGTTGGCAGTTATGCGACCCCAATGTTATGTTAGCGTTTAAAATGCTGTATAATAATAACATGTTTTATAATGCAAGAAGGTGACCAAGGCTATTGTCAGTACTGCTATTTTTGTGGTTAATTGAGATTCATGAGTTTCGTTTGCTACTTGCTGGTACGTGAAGGAGCTGTCAGTAAGATGAAAGTTTTTGTCGACATAACTCACGTGTGTATTGATTAAAGCAGTCCTTTCTGGGTAAAGAATCACAACCTTTAGACACGTACTCAACACCAGTGTAGAAGACCTAGCATTGCCCTACCTACGTTCCTCCTAAATCGAGATGTTTTAGCGATGCTTTTCACAAAATGGCTTTTCTTTCCCGATCTCTTCAGTTGTTGATCATTTCTAGCCTGGATTGTCTGACTCCAAAGGCTGCTGAGTAGGAGCATCGCCATTGTGGTAGGTAGAGTAGTCTAAATCCACTTCAGGCCCTGCGTGGAGGCTTCTGAGCATATTTGAGCTAAATAAACCTTTCTGTCGAGCCTTTTCAGTGTGGTCAGGGCACATGAGCCCTGAAGATTGCAAAATCAAGAAATAATGATGATATGTGGTGGTTTCTTAGGAATCTCCCCGGTAGAAGCAGAAGTTCAAAGTGTTTTCTATTAGGAAATCTCCACATCTCTGAAGCGGCGGTGTCACTACCACAAGACATTTTTGACTCCAGATGTTACACACTTTTGGTTTTTACTTACATTAAAGGAGAGTGAGAGACTTCTGAACTTACTCCTTTGATCCAAGTTAAAGTTCCTGAACTCAAAAGTAGCTGATGATGTCATTTAAAGTTTTTGTTTTTTGAAAGTATGTTTTGTTTTTTCACCTTTAGCCTATTAGGAAACGCATGTAGAAATTTTGCATTGTGATGTGTTACATTTCAATGCAAGTTTTGTTTGCTTTAGTTACTAAAATGCGAGCGGTCACCCCCAGGGCCTGGCAGTGGACATGGCTGACACAAGTGACAGCTTGTCAGGTGGCTGGAGGGGGAGGGGGCAAAGGGGTGCTCTGGCCCTAGCTCTCCGGTTCAGTGATCTCTGTTAGGGAGGGATGAAATCTCTAGGCCTCTCATGAAGGATATAGGCATTGTCTGCCGTGAAACATCACCACCCTTTGTTTAGAGGCTGCGGGCATCCTCCAGAAATTTATATTAATGCAGTGAGTTGTGTGCGTGTTAATGTACAGTTTGTAGAACCGTGACATAGACCTGAATTTAGCAGGTGCCTCAGTGGAGGAAGCTGTTGGCTGGAGCGTATGTAACTTGATCAAGGCAAAGCTCCTCTTCCTTTTATGGAGACTTCCATCTTAGTGCTATGGAAGTACCGAGGTAGCCCTCGGTGTAATACAGAATATCGTTTGCATTTTAAGCAGAGCCTGCGACTTTCCTCCCAGAGTGCTGGATATGAGCAGTGATCACACGTGTCATTTCTGAGCAGCTGTTGGAGAAGCAGAACAGGATTACGCCTCCTGGTTTCTGCGTTACATCTGGTTGCGGGAATACTGCAGACACTCCCTGCTGCCTGGAAAAAAGAAAACTCCCTCATTTGGGGCAGTCAGAAAGCTCTATTTAAATCATGAATTTTGGCCTCTCAGGGTGACACTGAGTTGAGCACCTGTTTTGGTGCACAGGGAGGACGAAGAGAAGGAGTTCAGGTAAAGCGCTCTCTGCAGGCCTTGATACCCGGGTGCTGCAGTGGTGTTTATGGGGGGATGATCTTCTCTTTACATTTGATCATCTCCACGACCCACTCCTTGGAGGAACTGGGAGCATTTTGCCATAACCAAGGAAGACCCAGGAAACTTGGCTTCTTTTCCTTTGTTTTCCGATGAGACACTTTTTCCCATCGGTCCTCCATCGGGATCCTACCCACTTCATTGATGGTACTTTCTGGTTTTGTTGCACATGATTAGGCTTCCAGCACAAGTTATTTTGTGTGGTCATTTTCACAACTTTATTTCACTCTAAAGATAGATGGCAAACATCTTTGTCCAAAGCCATATTGTGGTAGGAGCTCAGTAGAAGATTGCTCTGGAGTACTTGTGCATCTACTAATCTCTGAGCTTCTGCTGCCAGTTTTGACAGCAAATTTAGCTTTGCAAAACAAAACACAAACCAAAAAGCCCTTCGCAATGTGCATGCTTCTGTGGTAACCTGATTGGGAGAAAGTGGTAGGTAGCAAGACTTACTGAGTTGGGAATTGTTTTCTGTTTTTAAAGTGTATATGTTATTCATGTGTAAATTGGTTATAGTGCTTTGTTGACTCACTTTTATCTTTTACTTTGACCTAAATGTTCAGCCTGATGAACCACTCAAGTGTAGCTGTTAGGAAATGAATGATTTTTTTGGCTCTGATAGTTCAAGTGATTTCCTAAAAAAGCAAGAGTTCTATTGTATTGTTCTGTTTTTTCTTTTTCTTTTTCTTGTTTTTTTTTTTCAATGTGGAAGACTTGGCAATCTCTCCCCACCCCTGCAGTCAACCCAGTGAGTTAATGACTCATGTAAAGTAACACCCATGTCTTCCACACTGCAGGTCACTTCAGGTGGAACGTTCATTGGCATTGGACGGAAGACCCCTGATTGCCAAGGCAACACCAAGTATTTCCGCTGTAAATTCTGCAATTTCACTTATATGGGCAACTCATCCACCGAGCTCGAACAGCATTTTCTGCAGACTCACCCGAACAAAATAAAAACTTCTCTTCCATCTTCCGAGGGTGCAAAACCTTCAGAGAAGAACTCTAACAAATCCATGGCTGCACTTCGGGCTGGCGACTCTGGAGATCTGGGAAAGTGGCAGGACAAGATCACTGTCAAGGCTGGAGATGACACTCCGATCGGCTACTCGGTGCCCATCAAGCCCCTCGACTCCTCGAGACAGAATGGTACAGAGGCCACTAGTTACTACTGGTGTAAATTTTGTAGTTTCAGCTGCGAGTCATCTAACTCCCTTAAACTGCTAGAACATTATGGCAAGCAGCACGGAGCCATGCAGTCAGGTGGCCTTAATCCAGAGTTGAACGATAAGCTTCCCAGGGGCTCTGTCATTAACCAGAATGACCTAGCCAAAAGCGCAGAAGGAGAGCCAGTGACCAAGGCAGACAAGAGCCTGAGTGGGGCTAAAAAGAAGGACTTCTCCGCCAAGGGAGCAGAGGATAACATGGTCACAAGCTATAACTGTCAGTTCTGCGACTTCAGATATTCCAAAAGCCATGGCCCTGATGTCATTGTGGTGGGGCCACTCCTCCGTCATTATCAGCAGCTCCATAACATCCACAAGTGTACCATTAAGCACTGTCCATTCTGTCCCAGAGGGCTTTGCAGCCCAGAAAAGCACCTTGGAGAAATTACTTACCCATTTGCTTGTCGAAAAAGTAATTGTTCCCACTGTGCACTGTTGCTGTTGCACTTGTCTCCCGGGGCGGCTGGAAGCTCAAGAGTCAAACACCAATGCCACCAATGTTCATTTTCTACCCCTGATGTAGATGTGCTCCTCTTTCACTATGAGACCGTGCATGAGTCCCAAGCCTCGGAGGTCAAACAGGAAGCCAATCATCTGCAAGGACCGGATGGGCAGCAGGCTGTCAAGGAAAGCAAAGAACACTCATGCACCAAGTGTGATTTTATTACCCAGGTAGAAGAAGAGATTTCCAGACACTACAGGTGAGTCCCGGGAAGAGAGCTCCGAGAAAAGAGTATGAGGAATCCAGAGGGTTGGCGCAGAAATTGGGAGTGGGGGGGGGGGTCAGCTGGTGCTAGGAGCTTACGCGCCAAGATCACAGAAGTGAGCATAGGCTTGCAGGGAGCATATTGATAGATGGGAAAATCACAGACTTTAATTGGGCTGCTTGGGCTGATAGTGTGTAGATCCGATGGCTACCATACACCTAGGGTGGTTTAGAATGCTCTGGGATGCTCATAATGCTGGTGTTTGTTGATTTACTGCAACCCATTTTCTTTTTCTTTGCCAAATGTGACTCCACATCCTGTAGCTTGGATGGAGCACCTCCAAAACTGGAGGCGCTTGTATATTTTATTCTTGGTTCTGAGAACTAATTAGTTGAGACCCTGTTGCTCATTTCTCTTAAAACGAGGTTCTTCTTACTTTGAAAAATTGTCCATCCTTGGTTGATTGGCAAACTGTAGTCTAAAGGTGAGCCCTGCATCCCAAGTGTGCTGTTGTGCATGTACTCACCCCCTAGGCGAGCACAGCTGAACTGGTTTTGAATTTATGGCACAACTTAACTGATTCTGAATTTATAGAGCTGAGATCCACTTGTGTTTTCCTTTTTGTTTGCCTCCAGTTTCTTTATAAAGTTCCCTTGGTTATTCTTTCATACTTTTTTTAGAGTGGGTTTAGGCTGCATGTGCTTATTTCATGCATGTGTTTATTCCCTAACTGAGCTAAACATACACATTGTGTAAGACATGGACTGTCCGGGCATAAACAATGCAGGCATCATCATTTCCTGTTTGGAACAGAGTTCAGTAGGCAAGATGGGGTACCCCACGGATCAGGCTCAGAGTGAATACAAAGACAATGTAGTCTAACATGGTGGACCAGGAAGTGTCTCCGAGAATAAGAGCACAATGGGACTGGGATGTAAGTGGGAATGACTTAAGCAAAGCCCTGGGGAGCCAGTGTTCAGCTGTGTTTATTGGGCGCTTTCTTGTTATCATGCCTCTAAGCACCAAAGGGAATGCTTTATTTAGTATTTTTAAGTGATTTTCCATATGAAGATTCACTATGTGGGTCTAAAACCTCGTGGTTGTTTCCATTTTTTCTCACTATGACTTTAAATAGCTCCTTCCATTCCCTGTGTGTATGCCTGTCTTTCGGGCCCGGGTAGGGAAGCGGCCCATGGCTGACAACAGGCTAATGATGTTAAATGTTAAATTGAAGGCCATCCTCATGTTCGCAGTGCATCAAATGTTCAGAAAACACTTGCTTGAGATTTACACTGTTTAATTTATAAGGTCAGCCCTAGGAAAGGCACAGTCCTCTGATCAGACGTGCGCTCACACTGGCAGTGGGTGTTTCTGGCTTCTCTGGTGTTAGATGCATGTCAGTGTGTTTCTGGGGCTCACAGAACTGGACTGGCTGAGCTTTGCTAGCGAGACGAGAGAGGATGTGTGAGGATGGGTGAGTATGTGCGGATTTGGCTCATACATTTGTTCTGTGATTTCAAAATCAGATAATCCGATCTTTTTTTTTTTTTTGAAGTGGGGGGAACCTTGTTGAAGAAATCTTCAGAATTTTCTGTAACCATGTGGAATTTGCCCCTTCTCATTGGGAAACATCTAGTTACCAGATTTGTATAAGGTGACTACAAGTAGCTCTGAACATTGCTCTAAATTCTATTGTGAGAAAAGAATTTCTATATTTTTTAGATAAAATAATCTTCCAAAAAATAACAGTGTGAATGAAAGTATTACTTAATGATGTCCAGCTATAGTTAATACTCAGTAGGCCCGGTCAAATAGCTTAGCAGATTAAAGCACCTGTAAGCAGGCACAGGGGCTGAGGTTCGATCCCTGGGCCTGCTGTGCTGGCCCCGCCCCCAGGGCATGCTGAGATGGCAAATGAGACTGGGCATGGTGGCATGGGCCTGTAATCCCAGCTCTTGGGAGGCTGTAAACAGGCAGATCACTCTGAGTCCAATCTAGTAGTGAGACCCTGAACATCCTGTAGTCCCTTCCCTAAAATACAAAAAAAAAGAAAAAAAGAAAAAGATACATATTTAATACTTAGTAACGAGGTAAGCTCTAGAGGGAAGACATTACACCTGCTCTCTGTTGTATCCGCATAGTTTCTCTCAGTGTCAGCAGACCTCATAGCTGCTCAGTGAATATCTTTATCAGCGTTGGACTTCATGTTACTTATAAGTAAGCTGAGATCTGTAAGGCGAGTTATAATCTTCTAATGTTTACGGTCTTAGACCCTTTGTGAGGAGCTTGAGCTCTATGCTGAATGACAGTTGACCATTCACTGAGAAATAGCAGTTAGACTTTCAAGATTTAATTAACTGAGAAGTTAACATTTGTCCTTTCAGTACTAGAATACTATTCTAAATTGTGTTGATTTGCTGATCTGGGCACCTTTAAGGTTCTGAGTTGTCTATCTGGGCTCTGCAAATTCTAGAAATATTTGAAAATTGGAGCCTTACAATTGGGGAGTAGGAAATGTATAGAGACTTTGCTGAAAGCTGAACAGAGGATGCCCAGAGGTGGGAAAGGAACTAGTCACATGTGTGGGCAAAGCTTGATCTGCTCTCAAAGCACTTTCCCCAAATGCCACATTTTGAAGATAAAGAGGACACATTTACTGTAACACAATGCTGTCTTTCTAGTTAAATTTATGCTGCTTCCTATTCATTATTGTTAAGTATCCACCTGCACTTCTGTATTAATGTTATGGAGTATTTTGTTTATATATGCTTTATATACAGGATTTACATTGTATTAAAATTAGCTTGAGTCTAGAACTACACAATCTAGGAAATCATTTCCCCCTCAGATAACTGCGTCCAAGAGGCAGAATCATATTTGTGGACCTCTGCATGAGTCCTACGGCATGGGGATTTTCCATAAGGATGAGCTTTAGCTTGAATGTTTTATATTTACCTATTATATCCCCTAATTCATTTTATGACTGAATTAGTATATTCCACTCAGGCATCTTTTTCTCTCACTGCATTTTTTTATTGTTTGTTATTTCACTTAATATAGTACCTATTCTCTGTTGACTGCCATTTTCGTAAGAAATGTCAGGGTCGTAACTCACATTTTTGGTACAAGTAAGTGGACTATTTTTCTACCCACATTGGTACTAGATAAAACACACTTCCTAGGGCCGGCCAAATAGCTCAGTGGATTAAAGTGCCCGCAAGCAGGCTCAGTGACTGGGGTTTGATCCCCAGGCCTGCCATTCCGGCCCCGCCCCCAGGGCACACTGAGATGGCAATTGAGACTAGGTGGGGTGGTGCGCAACCGTAATCCCAGCTCTTGGGAGGCTGTAAACAGGCGGATCATTACGAGTCTGATCTAGTAGTGCTTCAGTTGTTTGCAGGTAGTGAGTTAAGATTTTCTTATGCCTGTTTGGAAAAATTTAAAATCAGCTAATGAAAAATAGGGAAGAACTGAAGAACTGTGTAACTTTAATAGGTACAGAATAGAAAAATGGAACAACAAAGAAAAGATCAAATGTAAAATGCAAAGAGAGGATAAAAGAAAAGTTAAATAAATATTACTTCAAAAGTTAAGTGATAAAATTGCCCAAATATCCCAAATCTTAAGCACTGAGTATTCCATTCTCCATTTTAGAGATAGTGTTAGACCTTGTAGAAAAGAAAGTTCAACTCCATGCTCTTTACAGGATACCTCCTTAAAACACAGGACTCTAAAGCATTGGAAAAGATAGTTTGAGTTGTACCAAAAAATATGAACCAAAGGAAAATGTACCTGTGACATTACATTTAACTTTAAGACAAACTGTAACCGTGGTAATAGGTTTAATTCATTATATACTGTAGTTTTAAAAAGATAAAGTATAAAGTGCTAATCAAACATTGGCAGAGGAACCAGAGAGAAAGAGAACTACAATTCCCGTAGTAAATTTTAAGAAACCGAATGTTCAGTAGAAAAACTTTCTCAAAATGTAAAAGATTTGATCAACAAATGACTAAGTATAACTTAGAAAAAAGTAACAAAAGTATATACATTCTGTATGCCACAGAATGTACATTTTCTTCAAGCACACATAGAAGAGCTATAAAATGATACAAATTAAGCAGAAATGAAATTTCATAAAAACAGTATCATATGAAATATTTCCTTTGACTCAGCACAAGTAAACTAGACTTCAGTAAGCAAAAGAAGTATGGATGACATTACATGAGGTAAATCCTGAGAACCAAGAGTAGTAGTAACCTTAGCAAACATAGCTTTAGATGACATCATAAAAGATAGAAGGCTCAGTAGGCATGCCTGCAGGAAGTGGACCTAGCCATTTTGGCTATGACACATGCTCACCCTTTTTTTTTTTTTTTGGTGGTACCGGGGATTGAACTCAGGACCTTGAGCTTGCCAGGCAAGCACTGATTCCACTGAGCTATCTCCCCAGCCCCTGTATGTCAGAAGTTCACATTCCCAGTGACTGTGTGTTGCAGTTATTTCAAGGAGGTCTTACACGGAGATAGTGCAGAATTTATGTGGAAGTACTCATTATTTCATTTCCTGAAAGAGAAAAAGCAGTCAACACGAAAACAAAAATAAATAAGCAGGAACTAAAACTCCAACTGACTATGCTTAAGAGATTAACTAAACTGTAGAATTTCTGTACAGTGGAATATTATGCAGTTGTTAATTTGGCTAAATGAGTATGATTCATAAGTTTAGCTAGTTTTGATTACATAAAAATAAATGAAGACTTTGAAGCTGTATAACAGCTTATGTAAAATCTAAAACTAGCAAAACGAAACTATATACATATATTCCTATATATAGTCAGTCATATGTGTATATGTAGTCATATATATTCACAGAAATACACTCAACTGTACTGTAAATTTTATTTCCTTTATTAGATATAATCTATGACTTATATAATTTTGTCTCTGTATTTCTATCTAGCTATATGAAATCATAGTAGATGGTTTTATTCC